GAACAGGCCACAAGGTCCCACCTGGTCGAGCTGTGCCAGAAAGAAACAAGGAAGGTTTCTGTCATCTCTGCAGGAAAAATGATGACCTAAAAATGAAAGGTTTAGCATCGGAGGCAACTGAAGTGGTTTCATTACCTGCATCTACCCGAATTTTGCCAGTGGTGGGTTTTACTGTAAGTAGACACTCCAAAAACAGCTGGGACTTAGGCAGTTAACAAGGAATTTACTTGAAGGAAGGCGTAATTTCAGCTGCAAAACGGTGAGAGTCAGTCTGTTAGTGAGCAACTGATACAATGTAATCTGGTAAACAGTCTGAGCTACTATTTCTGATCCACTGTCACATGAAAACGTCCCATCATGTCTCAGTTGCTGTTCTGTGGGCTTTACTGCCTTTCTGCAACCCACACGTCCTCTGGCTTCAGAGAATGTTTTCAATGTTTCATAACCTTAAAATCACAAGCAACCTAGGAGAGCTTGCCTGTGCTTATTCATGCTGCTGATAGACTTTTTCTACCGATGAAAAATATTCAGCTTCACTGCCATTCTTAAGAACCATATAATCATAGCATTGTTTAGAAAAGAATCCTTAGGAAAGATAATCAAGTTAACCCAGCACAGCCAAGCCCACCACTAAACCATGTCTCTGAGTGACACATCTACAGGGTCCTTTTAAATACTGCTAGGGATGGTGACTTCACCACTTCCCTGGGCAGCCTTTTCCAAAGCTTGATTACCATGTCTTCACCACAGTGAACAACGTTTTCCAATCTGAACCTTCCCTGGCGCAAGCTGAGGCCACTTTCTCATCCTGTTGCTTGTTACCTAGAAGAGACCAAGCCACAGCTGGCTACAACCTCCTTTCAGAGCAGTAAGATCTCCCTTGGGCCTTCTTTTCTCCAGGCTAAACAACCCCAGTTCCTTCAGCTGCTCCTTGTAAGACTTGTGGTCCACTCAGGACTGAGGCAAACAAGGTAATAAATACCCCAGCCTTTACCTTCATCCTTTGTCACTGTGTTTCCTCTGGCATCCAATAAAGGATGGAGATTCTCCTTAGCCATCCATTTGTTGCTAATGTATTTAAGAAGGATTTTTTTTATTGTGTGGCAGTAGACAGTATGGTGTCTGGGCTTTGGCCCTTCTAATTTTCTCCCTCCATAAAACCTCATGACATTTTTGTCCTCCTGAGTTGCCTGCCCCTTCTTCCAGAGGTCATAAACTCTTTTTTTCCAAAGTTCCAGTCAACACTCTCTGTTCAGCTGCACACTTTAGGACCCTTCTCAACTGTTTCCTCTCTGCTGTATTTCTAGCAGACATCTGGTAAGTTGAAGTTCCCCACAAGAATAAGGACTAGCAATTGTGAAATTCCCAGCTGCTTACAGTGTCTTTCATCTGCCTCTTCACCCTGGATGGATGATCTCTAACAGATTCCACCAGGGTATCTATCTTGTTGGCCTGACCCCCCGATTTTTACCCATAAAGGCTCAACCCTTCTGCCACCATCATTAAGCACTAGACAATCAAAACACTCCTTAACATACATGGCTACCCCAGAAGGAAGTCAGGGTTCCAATCCAAGGAAGCCAAGACTGTCAGCCTTGGGTGGCCTCTTGCACATTGACAAGAGTGGAAAGAGACATTGTTCTAGAAAGGGAGCCCAAATCTGTACATTCTGCACAGGCTGTTTTTACTCCCAAGAGTAACAGAAGAGGGAACTTACAGGTGCCTTCGCATGGTTCTGCACCCCAGCTACCTCTGCACATCCCCTGACATGGAGATGGTGACAGAAGATTTAACTAAGATTGTGAAGGTAGGGGAGTACTGGCAGGAGAGGGGAAAAGAGAGAAAAGTACTCTTTGAAGATAAATCTGTCCCAGAGGCTGTAGTTGTACTAAGCTAAACAGCAATGGGCTCATTCTCTGGCTCAGAGACTGATAAAATGTGGGACCATACTGCTAAATTGAACTTGTCTCCAAAGCAGGGCTGTCACACATATTGCCTACTAGAAGCAGCTCCTACTCATGCTACAGTCCTGAATCACATCAGCAAAGTATTGGATCAGTTGGCCCTGATCAACTATTTGAGACTGTAACACTGAGGAATACTATTGGGAAGAGATGCCCTGCTGTGATCACCTTTCTTGCAGGATCCTGCAAAACTTCTGTGACAATTGCCTCATTGGTGGCTGAGGAGGGGACAGACCAGAACGTGGGGCAGCTGTTCACTGTCCTTGAGACCCTGGATACTCTTGCAGCCATCAGGAAACACTACTCGACTTCCACTGTTCTCTGTGGGACAATGTTGTGCAACTCCCAAAGGCAGGCTGTGCTGTGAGAATCAGGTCCTCCCAAAAAGGCCAGCAAGTAATGGAAATGTTTCAAAACCAACGCTAGAAATGGTCACCATCACCAAGTCGCCAAATAGTTCTGGCCCAGATCCACAGAAATCCTATCTGGTCACTCCTCTGGGCTGAACCTGCACTGCAGGTGTGCTTTGCATTGCACTCAAGTGATACAGCTCTTGGCTCCTGCCTGAGTCAACAGCTGCCCTTGCTCACAGTACTGGGACTTGGGTTTGCTACTGCAAAATATTTTGCCTATATAAAGACTTTAAATACAAGCTAGACATACAGACTGTGGTCTGAACATTTTTGAGGAGTGGGCAGTTCTGTATAGTGCATGCTGCTGAAAACTTGGCAGTAACAGTATCACAAGCAAGAAAATGCAGGATGAATAATGGGGTAAAAAAAGCAGTAAATCAATGTATTTTCCTGGCACTTTGTCAATACCAACCTCAGACAACTTCATTACAGAACTGAATATGCAGGCGACGAGGCTCTTATAAATCAGCCAGCTTAACCAAACAATCCCTCCTCGCTATCAAATCTATTTGAAAGGAATCATTTGGGCAAGATGAGCTGAACTGTATTGACAAGCTGTGTCTGCCATCTCTGAAGGAATCACTGAAGAGGTGTCTTTCTTTTTCTGTGCAATTTCCCATCTTCCTTCTTTGTACAAATTCCATGATGTCCCTAGCAGAATCAGTGGTTGTGAAGAGGTGAGATCACAGCATTGTAGCATCCCATACAGAGTTACAACTTGCCTTACATTGCTTAAAATTCAGTCCAAGTCATGCATAAAGTAAAAATTACCTTTTTCTTCTTTTTTTTTTTTTTTTGTGATGAAAACTATATATTGTATGCAAATACTGACTCCATGCACAGAAACCTTGGAGGGCTGTAATCACCAAGGAACTGTACCAAATGGTAAATTCGAAATAACTATACTGGTGTGAAACAGAAAACCCAGTCCTGCTAGTTGGGGATTTGGGCAGCATCTCATTAAAAAAACACAAAAGCACAAACCCAAAAAATGTGTAACATGTCTCTGTATATGGGCTGCAGTCATGCCCATAAAGAAGATTTTTTTTTCTCCCATGAGCACGCAGGGATGGTTTGCGCAGGAAACAAGCGATAGCTGCCAGGCACATATACTTGTTAAATGTAGTCACTCCAAATTCGGTAGCACATTCCATTTCCTGGCCTTGGGCGAGGCAGGGGTTTTCCAGAGCACTCCTCAGTGCTGTGTCAGAGAGCATTTGGTCTGTGCATGACATCTCAGATGCATTATGATTTTATTTAGAACACACTTTAGCTCTGCAGGCTGCAAAGGCAAGGTGCCAGTCTTCAGCAAGAGGGGGAAGGACTATAAATAGAGCAGGCTGGGCTGCCACAGGCAGCTTTTGGTCTGCTTAAGTTTCTGGTTTAGCCTCGAAGAAGCAGAAATCCAATCTGCTGAGGAGATAATGCACAGTACAGGCGCAAGCAGCTGCTCTTCTCTGCAACCATCTTTCATTTTGTAGGTACACAGGTACAGCCACTTACCTTTAAGGAACAAGACACACCACCATCCATCTGTGCTTTCTTCCAGCTCTCATTTTTTTGCAAGTTCCTGCTATGCAAACTGTCATGTTCTCATTAAACCAGCTACTTACGAGGGGAACGCATTCCTTAATTTTCAAAACAAGACATAAAATTAATCTCAAAATTAAGTGCACAGAGGTAACGCACATTTCATATTTTTTGAGGCCCATGGAGCTTTTAAGAATTGTTTAATAGTTCTTGCTCTAAGTTGTATCCCATTAGGAGATCTCCCTGGAGATGTTTGAATAAAGAAGGGACATTTTGGTGCAGGACAAGTACGTAAAAATAGCATCAAGAACCCAGTCCTGTGCTCAGGAGATTTTTGTTTTCTTTTGCAGCTACCTACACCGAGAGCTTTTTCTTCCCTTACTCTGTCCTTCGCTCAGAGTTACTGTTAAAGAGAGAAGCCATATTTCCATCTATTTCCACTGCCTTTGACACCTTTCAGTGAGTATATTTTATTTACAGCTCAAAGCTAATGGAAGTCATCTCTGAACAGTGCATTTTAGACTCAAAGCACTTGAATTCTTTGAATTCCACACCTGAAAGCAAGCTGTAGCCAAGAGTGCAGAGTAATGGTTTCCCCTATTCCCTCCTACTGGAAGGCACCCTAAGAAGGACATTTAAAATAATTTCAGAATATGCTCTCTACATTACACCATGCACAAAAGGAGATGGGATTACTTGGGTAAAAAAAAATCATATACTAAATACTACACTTGTAAGCAAACCATCAAGTCTTAGGGAAGACAGCTGAATCTCATAAATCTTTGTCTTCCACAAAATATTTAGCCTACATTGCCTGTGTTTTCATCCCTGCTGGCCCTTGCTAAATCTGAGATACAAGAACCTAAGTTTGTAGACAAGTTAGAGGAGAGCAACAGTGACCTACTAAAACCAAGGACTTCCTCAGACACACTGTGTTTATGGTCTACTGGAATGTCCCTCCTACCTACCCTCTGCTACACAGGCATGAAGGATTTCTCCATTCCACAAAGTCCAGGGTTTAATAACCTGTCAGGCTGTCCTATACATTACTTCTCTAAATCTCTGGATATTTGAATAATATACTTTGCTCACATTAAGAAAACACTATATATAATTTTATTTGTAGAATATCAATTTGAAAACAGATATAAAAACAACAGAACATATAAACTTAATAGGAAACCAAACTAAAATAATAAAACAGTGCATTTTGCTCGATAGTTTAATTACAGTATGAGCTTCAACAAAAACCTTACTCCATTAAACCTGGATATTTTAGCCTTTGTTTTCATTTCTCTATTGTATTAAAAAAATCCTAAGTCACTTTAACAAACATTCTAATTAATAAATCCAATAACACAAGTAGTTTCTCTTGTAGTTCCATTGCATGAATGCACATGGACAATACTATATATAATAAAGCAAACCATTTAACAAGTGTGAAGAGATGTGCACTATGAATAAACTGAACACAAAACCAAGTGAATTCTGAAATCACTGAGCCATGTTAACACAAAGGCACATTTTAAGTGTAAATTCACATTTCTTAAAGGTTAAATTTTGTGCCCAGGCAACTTCAAGTCATCACAGCACAATCAGCCAAACAACTCTAACTGCACATATCTGAACTTTGAATAGAAAAATCTGGCTTCTATTTCTTTAATCCAGTTTTATTAAGAAAGAAATTAAATTAGAAATAGAAGAGCTCTCCTGCCCATATTTAGACTATATTGCTTTCCCATCAGAAATTCTAGTTTTCTTGTCAAATTTTGTTAAGCTTTGTAACTATCAGCACCCTCACAGTTTGGTCAAAAGCCCCACAGACACACAGTCCCTTTTTGTCAGGGCTCCAGTCCAGGCTAGAGATGGGCTGTGTTGACATAGTGACATTTTGCAAGAGACTAACAGACCCTGCTACTCCCATCTCAGATCCTTCCGAATCCTTCTTTGAGCGCTGGGCTGGGTACTGACTGCCAATGAGAAAAGTAAAACAAAAACAAGTACTTAGGAATTTATTGATACAAACTTATCATCATCATCCTCCTCTTTATTTCCTGCCATACAGATAAGGCAAATAAAAGTCTTTAAAGTAACAAATAATCACATTCAGCTATATCTACACTGCATGCTTTAGTAGATATTTCATGAAAGAAAAAAGGAGGTAGGAAATTTTGAATCCTGACAGCCCTATCCTATAGCTCTTCATTTTTTAAGTGGTTGGCTTTTATCACAGGCAGAAAAATTTCATCACAACTATGCTTCTGAAACTTAATGCATCAACTTTGTTGCATTTAGGACAATTAAATTATTCTTCCATGTAATTTAAGGAAACGTAAACGTAAGAATCATTTAGTCAAGACTTTTAAAAGTCTTCTCAGATGTAACTGCTACCATATGAGAATTTTAAGAAAGCCACTTTTTCCCATTTATCACCTTGTTAACCAAGGATATAATTAGATCTTCATTACATTACAACAACAAGGGCAAGATTCACCTGTGCTGTCATATTCTGTTAGGGATTAATTCAAGATTACAGATCAAGTACTGACACTGAAATCACCCGTTCTACTGCATTTGTAAGCAATAATGTTAACCAGATATTCTGAAGTTGGAAGCAGGATCCCACTCACCATTTTCAGAAAGATTATTTCTTAAAACATTAAATGGCTGGTTTCTTATTCCTGCCTGGAGAAGTGATCACTTACTATTTCCAAAGATGAAGGCTCCCAGATCCTCCACTTGTCATAAATATATCTCTGTTCTGTGGCAGGTGCCGAACCTGCCAGATGGTAGATTTTTGTGCCTAATAAGAAGAAATAAGCATTGTACAGAAGTCATTTGGGGATGAACTTCATAGGAAAGGACACAGAATCTTAAAACAGAGATCACTTGTATGAAGAGTGCCCAGCCTTCCTATAGTGGATAGTTAATTTCACTATATGGTATCTCTTAAAATCATTACTGGAAGGGAATGTGTTACAAACCTGTGCAAACACAACACAAAGTCAAAAAACTCAAACCTCAACAGGGCACTAAGATAGCAACAGAAATCACTTAGGAAAAACCCCAACACATCCTCTGACTTAATGCTTATCTGTCTGAAAATGACCACAAGGAAAAGCTTAAATGCACTAAACGAACATCAACTTCTATTTTCATATTTTAGTACAAAATTATTTATAAATAAATAAAATAAATTTATTGTTTTATTCTAATGATGGTTTGTATACATTTCCTGAAATAGTTCACTGTCGGGACCTGGGCAGCCTCCTTTGGACCTGACAGGGACGAATAGGTGTCTGATTTTTAATACTGACACATTGTTACACCAATGAGAAAGTTGTGAAACACACATGTAAAGGGGACAGTGCTGGGGAAGGAAGGCTCTTTGGTTTCTGGCCTCTCAGAAGGTAACGCCAGCGCGGGCCCCTCCGCACAGCTGGGCCGGGCCGGGCCGGGCCGGGCCGGGCTGGGCTCTCTGGCGCAGGGCTCGGGAAGCCGCCAGGCCCCGATTTCGGCCGGGCCCCGATAGAAATGGGGAGGGGAGGCCCTTGTGGCTTCTGAGATCCTGGCCCCAACCCCAGCGTGGCGAGGGAGCCCGCGGGGCCCCCCGGGACAGCGGCTCCGGGCGGCCGGGCCCATGCGGCCTAGGGCAGACAGAGCCGGACCCTGTTCCGGCAAGGCCCCCCACCCTTGCCTGCCGGGCACAGGGGGAGGAAAGGCCATCAGCCGCCGCTGGAACTGAATGAAAAGCCAGACAATTGTGCAGCCAGAGCAGCCACCACGTTTCTCGCTTGGCCCCTGCTATCTTGGGCCAGCCCCGCAGTGCACCCAAAATACTCCACCCCAACTGCTCCAGCTGCTGCCCAGGCAAGGTGTTCACCCTTTCACTGCCCAGAATGAGACTTTGAGACACTTTGTTCTTTCTCCTGAGTGAAAGAAGAGGACCGAGATGAAGATACACACAGAAACAGCATGAAAACGCCAAGGTCTGACAAAAGGAAGAGTCAGGTTCCAGATGAAAGCAACTGATGGAGATGCCTCACTCTTGGACTGAAATTTCTTTTTAAGCTGGAAAAGAGACTCTTGTTTCTTTATAACTCACAGAAATGCACTATGGCGTGGATGAAATGTTCTAACTGTAGACATGAGCAGAGGCATTTGTATTAAAGTAAGCACATATTGAAATGGCTGTGATCCTATGAGAAGTTAGAATAGTGAGAAGACTCCTGCTGCCCCCCAGGAAAAAGAAGAAGAAAGACCTCTGTTTGCAAAGATGAAGAGAGCTTTTGTTTGAACTGTTATAATCCTTAAACTGATGTGCCCCGTAAGTTGACATGGTTCTCGATAACAGTTGTGGGAAGACTGTCAGTCAAGGAAGGAACTTTTACACAGTGATCAGATTTCCATTCTCCCGAGCAGCTGATCACTGTGACATCGAATCCATGAGAAAACTGTTTTCTTGTCTCCACAGACTGAAGAGACAAACTCCTCTCCCAAGTAAAGTCGAGAAAGACTACTTTTAGAGATGGTAAACTGACTGATGTGTTTCTGTATGTTGCCAGTGTGAAAGAAAAAAGTTGTGGGGGGGAGGAGAAGTTTTCTGAAAGTTTTATTCTGATTCTTATTATTTTTTCTTATAGCTTCTAGTAACAAAGTTTTATTTTGTACCCTTTAAAGTTTGAGGCTGTTTTACCTTCCTCCTAATCCTATCTTCACAGCAGAAAATGAGTAAATAATTCTAGTGGGTGCACTAGCCATTTAGCCAACACTACACCCACAACAATGCTGTAAAAAAATTCTTTGATTCAGAATGAAGTACCTTCAACATCTTATCTGCTTTGAATGATAGTATGGAAAATATTAAGAGATACTAAGTTGAAACTCAGACTATTCTAAAAAAAGGAAGTCCTAAAGAACTTTACCACAAAAGTGCCTTTTCTTGAATTATCACCAGATTTTGTTCACCCAACAAAAACCAAAACCAAACCAAAAAACAAACAAAAAAGTTTTATAAAGTAACCCGGTCATTTCTTGCATATTTGTACTATACCTGTAGTAATTTGACAGCATGAATTTAGAAAGTTTGTATCTTATTAAGAAATTCTCATTCTCCCCATACCTTCTCTGAAACAGATGCAAAACCTTTGGTTGGATGCTGAGTTCTCATATCAAAAACATGGAATTTTCCCTCAAGCGATGTTGCCACCAGCTTATTCATATTAATATCTTTTCTGTCAAACTCCACACTGCAAACCTGGATATAAAACAAGATAAATTCAGTCATGTAATTTAGCCACTGTTAAAAAAAATAATGGATGTTTTGTGATCTGTAAATATGTATTAATCATTTGTTATTTCCACAATAATATCATACCAAATAGGATAAAACAAGTTCATCTGAAAACATGAACTGAAAAATACTCTATCCTGTCCCAATCAAGAATGTGAGGGGTACAACTTGCTGAACCTAAAGAAAATTATTCCTTGGTACATTCTCAGCAGAAACATCTTCTGGGTTTCTCACAGACAGAGTCCTTTTAATTTTTCCATCCTACATAGGAGCTGGAATGAAAAAGACTTTTATGATTTCCTTACCCCATTCTTAATGTTGGTCTCCCATCGTAGTGACATGGTTTTTAAGTCAAACAATTTAATGTCCCCATTGTCATATCCAGCACATACAACACGTTCCTCTTGATTGTAAGCATTGCCTGGATGCAGAGAGAGAATTAACCAGGAAACAAAAAACCTCTGTAGCCTGAACATTTCGGAAGTCCTAGGCCTGCAGTTTCAACTTACATTTATACAACAACAACAAAAAGTTACTGTTGGGATATCAAGATGTGGTGAACCAGATGGTTTTCAAACCCAAAGGGTCTAGAAAACTCTTGTGTAGGACACAAGCAGCTTTGCTTTCTCCAAAGAAAAATGCAGAGCTCACATCAAGCATTACTGTTTTCTTTAATTAGCTCTTAAACTTCAAGGGTCTTCTCTTAAATTAACTCCTTAATGCTGGGTAGCTGGAAGTACACTACAACAGTGATGGGCTCCCTGTACATGGCAATATTTACACTCCTTCAAGGCCAAACAGCTGGATATATTCTTTTTACAATCCTAGGCACATAAATAAAGCTTGCACAGCTCATCTGTGAAACCACAGAATCATCAAATCATTTAGGTTGGAAGAGACCTTCAAGATTATCAAGTCCAACTACAAATGGTGACCAAAAGTGATTAGAGAACAGGTCCAAAACTTAACCATCACAAACCCACAAAACTAGTTTATTTTGAAGAAAAAAACCCACACATAAATTTAACAGTGTAGAAAAGCAAAACCTGCTACTTATGCATCCATACAAAAGAAACTATTCCATAACATCCTGAAATACATTGATAATCATCAAAGCACAGTCATATGAGAAGGAGGAATGGTCATGATCTGATCAATTACCAAATGCCACAGTCCAGCAGTCTCTTTTGCTCTCCCCCTGTACAGGTTCCATATTAGCCACAGGAGTGTCATTCTGCCTCGGGTCCCACACCTTCACAGTTCCTGGGAAAGAAAGACAATAAATTTTGTGTTAGGAATACACTGCCATACTGTGCTCACCTTCCCAGGAAAGCCCTTTGCTTTTCAACCTAATCATTCAAAAGACAGGAGCAACTCTTTCAATTCTAGAAAGCCTCACTGCGTTTTGTGGATATAAGAACCACAAAACCAAACAGAAACAGTTAAAGCACTTGTTAAGGATATATTTTCTCTAGCTTATATTTTACATTTATTCCGGTTTGTATTCCTTCTGTCTCATGCCCAATGACAACAGTACCTCTTGCTTATCTGTGGCTTCTAGAAGAATTAGAGAAAATTGGTCCCAAGCAAGGTTCAAAAGACAGTGTACAAAGAACTAGTTGCAACAGCTTGTAACTAGTTCAGATGGCAGACCATGCCCTGCCATCAAGAGCTTGCAGGCTCAGAGGAACTGGAAAGACTTGCAGAGTTCACTAACTCACCATCTCGACTGCCAGTCACAATTTCTGGTGCACCTTCCCCAATTCCTAAGCCACCTACACCATCTATACTGTTTATGATTTCCTTATGACCTTTCACAGAATACACTGGTATTTCAGGAGCTTCTAAATTCCTAGGCAAGAAAGAAAAAGAACAGAAAACATGGCATTTTTCCTTGGCACTCAGGATTTCTATAAAAATGAAAGGAAAAGAGCACAAATCGTAAAAGCTCAGATTAATGGTGAGAATAAATATGGATATCAACACTAAGAATCATGAGTCTGTCTTCGATTCCTTCTTTAGCTACTGCTTTGGACTGCTATGAAAGGTTTTGCTGTGTTCTGGACTTCCCTGTTTCCAAAGGCATTTGTGGGATTCCCCACAGCAACCGCTTAGACCCAGTTTTTATGCGGGGCTCAAAAATGAGTCAGATTAAAATACTCCAATTAGCTTTACTTTCAGTAGGTCTATAAAATAACTTGATTCATTGATCCCCACCTAGCTCTGACTAGTGTTCTTTATGGTTCTTTCCTACTGATTCCCATTGTTCAAGAATCCTTCAGAATTTTATTTTACATTTCAACTAGTAACTGTTCCATGTAATTCTTGCTATTCCAACAAGAACCTGTAGTTCCTTGATATAGGGCAATATAAAAATAATGATGATAATAAACTATCTCCCTTTGATATTACTACTTTATTTGATCATAAATTTACCTAGGCATTAATTACACAAATAATTCAGACCTAGAGGAAACATTTGAGATTTCAAGATTAAAAATACATATTTAATCTAAACAAGAAGTTTAGGTTGAACACAATCTCTTGGTTCTACTCATGCATCCAATTCAAAAGCCTCCTTTCAGAGGACCTGAAGCTCACAGAACTTTAACAGGTTTTTGTAGCTGCACACAGAAGATGAGAGTGAAACAGCACTGAATTAAACACAGTGCAGAATTCTGTGTTGTTTCTACAAAACAGGCATGGTCCAAATACAGTAGCCAGCAAAGCTTGCACTGGGTCCCAACCATGGGCAGCCTGGAGAGCATGTCATGCAAAAGCCACAAACAGAAACCTCTGTTCAGACAGACATGGACAACGTTAAGCGAAAACACTTCCAGAGAATATCTATGCTTACCATATGTTAAGGTTTCCATCGAAATCTCCTGTAGCTAAGTATCTTTGCTGCAGAGATGTAGCACCAAAAGTTCCACATTTTATAGGTTTGGGCTTTTCAATCTTTTAAAGAAAGGAAATGTCTGTGTCAGCACAGGGAAAAGGCAAAAACACCCACAGACCACCCAGTTCTCGGGATGCATGGGGGCAAGTGTCAGCGAAACACACATGGGGTATTGGGTGCAAAATACTATGAAAATGCTGTCAAAGGCAAGCTACACTTTGAATTCAGTCTTTGTGCACAGAAAAGCAGAGGGTCCAGTTTACTGGTGTAGAAGAAAAGCACTCTTGTGGCCTGGTGGGGCCTTATGCACCTCAGGAACTGCTATGCCTCAGAAGAAGCAAACACTCAAAGGTCAATCTGAGAGAAAAAAACCCAAACAAACAAAAAAGCAAATAAACAACCAACCAACCAACAAACAAACAAAAAAATCAAAAAACAATCAAAAACCAAACACACAAACAAAAACCGAAACAAAAAAAAACAAACCCAAACAAACAAACGAAGAAAACAACCCAAACCAGCCAAACACAGGCAGAAACCAGAAATCCATAATGAAACACATGAAAACAACCTACAAAACACGGCAGTAAATAAAATCGCAGAATCGCAACCCCAGGTTGGAAAAGACCTGAGATGGTCGAGTCCAACCTATGACCGGCCACCACCTTGTCAACCAAACCACGGCACTGAGTGCCAAATCCAGTCTTTCCTTAAACACCTCCAGGGACGGTGATTCCACCACCTCCCCAGGCAGCCCATTCCAGTATCCAATCACCCCTTCTGTGAGGAAATTCTTCCTAATGTCGAATCTAAACCTCAGCAGCTGAAGTCATGTCTCCTTGCTCTGTCACTAGATGTCTGGGAGAAGAGACAGACTCCCACATGGCTCCCACCTCTCAGGGAGCCGTGGAGAGCTGCAGGGTTACTCCTTATCGAGAAACCACAGGGTATTTCCGAATCAGCACATTTAACACACAGATCAGCTCCTGTTTTTTACCCCCGGGCTCTAGGCAGCCGTTCCCGCGGCGGACCGCGCTCACCTCCCGCAGCAGCTCCAGGCGGGCTCCGTGCAGCTCGTACAGCTGAACGATGCCGGTGCCGCGGGCGGCGCTGCCCAGGCACAGCAGGCGGGCGCTGCGGGGCACCCACTTGCAGTCGAACACGGTGTAGCTCAGCGCCTGCTGGACGTGCGACACCACCTGCGGCCGCTCCGCGCCCACGGCCGCCGACATGCCGCATCTCCCCGCGCCGCCCCGCCCCGCCGCAGCCCGACGGAAGCGCCGCCAGCGCCTTCCCCTTCCGGCGGCACCGCGCGTTCCGCCGCCAGCATGGAGAGCCAGGCGGGGCCGGGCGGCGGCTTCACCAGCGTCGTGTCCCGGCGGAGCCGGAGGAAGCGGCGGGCGGGCGGCGAGGAGCCGGCGGCAGGAGCTGCCATGGACACGGCGGAGCCGCGGCCCAGCAAGCGGCCGGCGTTCCCGCCCGTGGCCGCCGAGGCGCTCGGGGTAGGCGGGGAGCCTGGGAAATGACGCCCGCCGGTTCTCCGCCGTCCCTGGCCTCACGGTCTCTCGCTTCCGGCAGGTTGGGAAAGGTGAGCTGAGGAAGATCCCCGTGCCGGCCAACAGGTACACGCCGCTGAAGGAGAACTGGATGAAGATATTCACGCCCATCGTGGAGCATCTGCAGCTTCAAATCAGGTTCAACTTGAAAACGAGAAATGTTGAGATCAAGGTAAGGGCAGCAACTTCTCCTGCCTTCCCCGGTAACTGGAAGAGAAGGTTGTGTGCAGACCTCATAGCACCTTCCAATATCTGAAGGGGCCTCCAAGGCACTCTTTGTCCGGAACTGCAGTGACAGGACAAGGAGTTATGTGTACAAATTGAAAGTTTAGTGTGGATGTTAGGAAAAATATTTTTTTTCCTGTGAGAGTGGTGAGACACTGGAATAGGTTGCCCAGGGCTGCCTTGAGCAGCCTAGTTTAGTGACAGGAGTCCCTGCCCATGAGACTAGATGATCTTATGGTCCACTCCACCCCCTTACTATTCTATGAGTCTGTCTCCTGGAAAGCAGGGCCTCTCCTCATGGGTGTTCATGGTCCACAGATTAAAAGACTAGATTAAAGACTAGAGAAAAGTTTTAAATTGCACATAATGCTTGGAAAAATGGAAGCTGTGTGGTGTCACCTCCTCGTGGATCAAATCTGGCAATTATTGCTTAGAACAAATAGTTACTGCAAGTAAAATCCAAAAATACAAATATCTTCCAGAAGGAGCCAGCAGAAGCTGTGGGAGTGTTCAATTTTTGCAGGAGAAAGTTATGTACTATAGCATTAAGGAAGAATTTTCATCCATGTCTTAGATACAATTTTGTAATTCAATGTTTTTCAGCTATTTAAGGTTACCAAATACTTACCTGACACTAAACTTAAAGTATCTTTTAAGAGGGCACTGAATCTTCTAATGCCTTTGTGGCAGACGATAAGAGCCCATAGTTTAACAGCATGTGACTTTTCTTTAATGGACTGCACTGGAATACTTTAGGGGACAGACACCAGTATAAATCTTGTAGATGCTCATTCTTTATCCTTATTTCTCTTGAGGAATGTTCACACTAGGAGTTTTTAAGGGCGTATCCAAAGTTTTGACATATGTATTAGCAACATTGACCTATGAGATATTCTGATGTAATAGTGAAAATACAACAGGAATTTTGCTTCCTAACCCTGAAATGTTATCACAAGTTTGATGGCAGGAACTGGAGGAAAGGTAACAGAATTATCCCTTATTTACACTTCTTAGAAGTAACTTCAGGGGAAAAGTAGGGAGGAGCAGGAACTCTTGCAGTTTCACTCAATAACTGTGCAGGAGAAAACCCTGGGATTTTAACATTACTTTTTTATATGAAATCATGTCTGGTGAAAAGCAAGGGAGTTTTGTTCTTAACATAGCTGATTTCATTTTGCCCATACCCATCATGAATATAAAACTTTGAAATGAGTTTCATTCACCTGCTAAGGCATCTTTAGAAGACTGTCATTAGAGTAACTCTCCTGACCATCACCATCCCTCTCTTTTTTTCTGCTGTTTGCTGTTGCAGTTTAGTTTTTGTTGGTTTTGGGTTTTCTCCACCAAAAGGGTTCTACCCAGTCAGTGGTGGCATGGATTTTCAGCAGCTTTTCTCCTCTCCAAGCACAGGCTGATCTTTTAAGTTCTGCTCCTAAATTGCCTGGTCTTAATTTGCAAAAATAACTTCTTGTCTTGCAGACTTGCCAAGAGACAAAGGATCTCAGTGCTCTGACGAAAGCAGCTGATTTTGTGAAAGCCTTTATACTTGGATTTCAAGTAGAGGTGAGTCTCCCAAAAACCAGATTGTGAGATGGCTTCAGTTTGCTGATTTGTCCCTGGCCTCTCTGAAAATTAGAGTAAGAAATAAAGAAAAAAAAATCCTTAGGTGGTTTTCTAGAAATTAATGCTTTCTAGAAATTGTGACTGGAGTAGATAGTCAGTGTTTTAAGATAATGCCAGATAAAAAAGTAGCCTTCAAACAGCACATAAACAGAGGACATAGGTGGTGTGAGACAAGTATAAAGCAATAATCTGTCTCTGAGGTACTCTGCACTGGTAGAGACTGTTCATTTTTCTTAAGCCCAAGCTAATAACCTCCAGTCTGTGCAAAACTCACAGAATAACTAGGTCCGAAAAGACCTTTGAGATCATCTAGTCCAACCTATGACTTTATCAACGAAACCATTGCACTGAGTGCTACATCCAGTCCTTTTTTAAACACCTCCAGGGATGGTGACTCCACCAGCTCCCTGGGCAGCCCATTCCAGTGCCCAATCACTCTTTCTGTGAAGAATTTCTTCCTAATATCCAGCCTAAACTTCCCCTGGTGCAGCTGGAGACTGTGTCCTCTTATCCTGTCACTGGTTGCTTGGGAGGAGAGACTAATCCCCACCTGGCTACACCCTCCTTTCAGGCAGTTGTAGTGAGTGATAAGGTCTCCCCTGAGCCTCCTTTTCTCCAGGCTGAGCCCCTCCAGCTCCCTCAATCACTTCTCATAGGACTTTTGTTCCAGACCCTTCATCAACCTTGCTGCCCTTCTCTGGACACACTCGAGCATCTAAAAATCCTTCTTAAACTGGGGTGCCCAAAACAGTACTGGGCACAGTACTCAAGGTGTAGTACTTGGCCCGAACAGTGCCAAGTACAGGAGAAGAATGACTTCCCTGGTCCTGCTGGCCACACTGTTCCTGATACAGACCAGGATGTCATTTGCTTTCATTGGCCACGTGGGTACATTGCTAGCTTGTGTTCAGTAGCTGTTGACTGAACCCCCAGGCTCCTTTCTGCCTGATTGCTGCCCAGCCGTTCTGTCCCCAGCCTGTAGCACTACAGGGGATTGTTGTGGCCAAAGTGTAGGACCCAGCCCTTGGACTTATTAAAGCCTCATATTGTTGGATTCAGCCCGTCTGTCCAGGTCCCTCTGCAGAGCCTTCCTGCCTCCAACAGATCACCACCTGCACTTGCAGCTTGGTGTCATCTGCAAATTTGCTAAGGGTGGACTCAATCCCCTCATCCAGATCATCATTAGATACTAAATAGAACTGGGCCTGATGGAGAAAACAAACACAGTTTTTCAGTGTTGTAGGCATTGCTCCTTGCACTAGACCTGTACTGGATTCACGAGTGCAGGGGCATCCAAGCCTGTGTAGGGTTCCCTAGATGGAAATATTTGTATTGTGTTGAAAAAAAGTGGATTTAACTTTAGCTAGGGTTTTAGGTAGATTTGCTAGATTATGTGTATAAAGAGAACAGCAGCTTTCAGCTGTGGTACTGGAACAAAATAACTGCTGATAACAGATCTCCTGCTCTTTTAGGATGCCCTTGCTCTCATCAGATTAGACGATCTTTTTCTGGAGTCATTTGAAGTTACAGATGGTGAGTATTTTCTGCTGCAGCATTCAAGAAGTCATGTGTGCATCCTGCTAGTATGGGTTTGTTTTTTCTTTCCCCTTGCTCCACTTGTATCAGTTGCCCTCAAGGATCAGGAAAGCCAGAAACATCTAATTTTATGTAGCACTGGGACTCCTTGGAGTCCCCTGTAGAGCAGAATCTAAACCTGATCTACTTCATTTCTACCAGTGTTAACTGGTGCACTTTGACTCCATTTCCTCAACACGAAGTGCATTGCCTTCCTCTGCAGTTCTGAAGGAGACTTTGGTGCACCAGAAACCCTATGTCAGCACTGGATGCAGTGTGCACTGCTAGTCAAAAAAAAACTGAAATCCAGATGGATCTGTGTTGACCAGTGAAGTTGCTTTCATAGTGTGAGCTGTTTCCAGCAACTTGACCAAGGGAAGTGTTAACAGGAATATACTGCTGTTACCCTGGGCATGCTATTCTCATTTCAGTCAAACCTTTGAAAGGAGATCATCTGTCAAGAGCAATAGGGAGAATAGCAGGGAAAGGCGGAAAAACCAAATTCACCATAGAAAATGTGACCAGGACACGCATCGTTCTTGCTGACGCGTAAGTACAGACTGACTTCCTCCCAGGCAAAGCACAACCCCTCAGCTAATCCATGGCCTCTGCCAGGAACAAAGGTAACTTAGATTTTATCAAACTGCTGTAGAGTAGTAAGAAACAATATTTAAGAGAATATTTATTGAACACAAGTTGACCTTTTGTTGAGAATGACAATTTCACCAGTGCACCTGGAATTCATTCCCCACAGCATAAGAATTCCTTCTTATGAATAATCAAAGTTTAGCTCACCAACACAGCAACATTATCCTCCTAAAGATGCTACACTGTTAAATTGCAAATTGTAAAGTCTATTTTAAAAGGATTTAGAAGTGCACAGGTCTTACGTTGTAAGTTTTGTGGGTTTCATTTGGGGTTTTTTTTGTTTACAAGTGTAGAAATGAAACTAGTACACTGATACAAAATGCCACATTTATCTCTAACCTCCACTTCTCTTATTAACTGTGTAATCTTCTAAGTTACTTTCCATTAACTACTGCTACTTCACTTTTTACAGAAAAATTCATATTTTGGGATCTTTTCAGAACATTAAAATGGCACGAACAGCAATTTGCAATCTAATTTTAGGTAAGTCCTCTTATCTTCACTACATATAGATCTTGCAGTTTGAGAAACTGCTTTGTGGCTCTTGCCCTCTTCCCTGTCCTGTCGACACCTAGATTTGGAGTAAATAGCTTGCTGGCAGTTGG